GACCTGCACAAGTCAATTAGTGCCCCTACCTTTGTGTGCGCCCTGCTCCTGCTGTTCTCTTGCAGGAAGCCATCAGTCAGGTTTTGGGAAGCAGAGCTAGATGCTGGAATCTTAAATCCCCCTTACTCCTGGTCAGGAGTAGCAGTAATGCCCACAGGAGAAGGGGAAGCCCACGGTTGCAGGCAAAGGCAGGTGATGATAGAGTCTGAGCGCTGAGGGCAGCACAGCTCCAAGCAGCTGCTGGCTGGTAAGGGAGCAGTGTTCAGGCATTGCTGAGGGGATATATCTAAATGCCTCCCTTTAACAATGCGCCCAGGTAGAACAATGAGAAAAGGGGACGTAAGGGGGCTCAGCCTTACCCTCCCAAGCACAACGGGGAGAGGTGGAGATGTTGCTTTACTTCACAGGGTGGGAAGAGATTCCCCTCAACTGCAAGAGGACTAGTCCCTGCCTTGATAGGTAGCCACAAGGGCTAAGACAGTGGGAGGGAGCTGAGGGGATTGGGGAAGTAGGTAACTGTTGGATCCAAAGAGGGGAGGACAGGGTGGAAGGAGTCAGGAAACAGGTAGGTACTGGAAGCAGGAGGGCATTTTAAAAACAGGTCATTTTGTAGGGCCCTATCATGGGAAATCTTTTACCAAATGATGCCAAATGTGCACCTCATATTCTACCCTGGACCCTCAAAGTTGGAGGCTCTCTGTTTCTGACTCTGCCTTTTAGTGCACTCTGAAAATTCACCTTTAAACTGAAACACTTATGTCCTGCCTTTAAGCCAGCTCCTACTACTGTTCCATACGGAGCTTTCAGCACTGTGGGCTACCACTGAGTAAAACCAAAAATGACCAACCAAAAATTGGTTATTAGATTTTAATTAGAGAAATGGGTGCTCAACACCTCTGAAAGTCAGGCCATACATTGTGAAAGATTTTGTGAGGCAATGGCTGGGGGGAGGAAGAAGGAAAGAGCAGAAGAGGGGCTGGAATACCATGGTAAAGACTAATCCAAAATAGACTAATTTGAGCCAAACTGCACTGACACTTGTCTTAAACTACCATCCAAGGGATTAGCAAAATCAGCTGCTTAACATTTAGTTAAAAGCTGGCCAAAACTATACAGGAAACCTTTAAAAGCAGTTGCATAACACACAAGGATGGGGCCTTAAATGTAATTGTTTAAAAAGTTTTACAATTATGCAGTCCAATTACCAAAAGTTAGAAAAAAAATACAGACTACATACTAAGTGATTGTCCCCTGGTTTATTTAATCAACTCTGTTGATGTATTAATGGCAAGTGCAAGGTCCACACCTTATCTTTGGGTAATCTCATCCACAAACACAAATTCAGCTACTATCTCATGCAGAGGGGAGGGGCTTGGGCACCTGACTGACAGGCTGGAAGGAGGTGCCTATCTTACACCCTCTCTTAATGCTAAGTGCCTAAAACAGGCCAGTCCTTTCTCACCAAAAAAGAGCCAGGGAGAGACTGAGGCACACCCCACCCCACCTTAGCCAATGGCATGGTCACTCAGTTACAGCTAGGTGACCCACTTTCAAGTCACTGCTCTGTCTGACTTGGGGCACAGACATGGATCCAAGTCTCCCACATTCCCTGTGAGTGCCCTGGCCACCAGAATAGGTGGAATTCTGGGGTGGGTCTCTTGCTATCTCTCCCATTGATGCTGTTCCACTTTGTATAAATAATTACATATTCATTGGGCCAGCAAGAGAGGGGGAAAAAGTAAGCAAGAGATTGACGCCGCACCGCAGTGGGTAGGGCAGTCACCAGAGATATGGAAAAGTCAGGGTCAAGTCTCTGCTCCAAGGAGTATGTACAAACACAGTGGAACCCTTTCAAGAGGCAAGATTGAGAGAGGCCTACCCCAGAGTAGCCAAGAGGCTGCTGGTAGGACACATTCAGCTAAAAAGCGGGAGACCTGTCCCTGACCCTAATCAGGCAGAATGGGTATTCAAACCTGGTCTCCCACTGCCCAGCTAGTGCTCTAACCACTGGGCTATTGGCTATAAGGGGGCCCACAGCCAGCTGCCTTTTGTGCAGATTACACATGCTCTGAGCACGCTGCAGGGGTAGGTGTGGGGGAAGAAGGAGAACTACCTAATTTGATATCCCCGCTGTTCTCAGGGATAAAGTTAGGACTTAGGGGATTTGTGTGTGCTCACCAGCAGAAACTTAGGTGCCTCCAGTGTTAGGAGGCAGCTGAACGGCAGTGGAACCTAAACGTTGGACGTAGGTGCCTAAAGCAGCAGTTTGGAGCCTAAATCCTTTTGTGAATCTAGCCTAACAGAGATGGAGGCCCACGCACACTCCCCGGGTATTGTTCAGCATACACTGCTGGAAACAACTTCACCTGTGTAAAAACAACCTGTACAGTGTTCTGTGGTCAGTCAGAAACACTAATAAAGACAGGACCTATCACCTTGGTTTTCAAAACAGTTTGAAAAGTTAAGATACGAATAATGTGCATTATCTGGGGCAAAAACCCCACCATTTCTTAAAATGTATATCTGATTTACTGTAACAAGTGACAGCATGGTTAATACAATAGGACAACCCACCACTCCATCACTGGACGTTTTCACAGTAGATGCTAGAACTTTATTTGCCAGCTTTTTGGATTATGAAGTATACAGAATCCACTTGGTCCTGCAGGCTGCTGAGAGCTTGTGAACTCAATAGAACCTTTTCCCACCCATCCCACTAAAAGGAGGGAGGGGCCTCTACTGTGAAGAAATCTGTCATGCAAGCATTCCTTTAACCCACACGGGGTGAGCACTGGTAAGAAGGGGGTGGGTGGGAGGAAGTAGGAGTGCAGGGGATGGGCTGGGAGACAGGTTATGGTCAGGACACAGTAGTTTGCATGCACATGATACTGAAATGATGGCATAGCAGTTGATTTTGTGATTGCAAGCCCCTTCGTCTGCCATCCTGAAGCACTGCCTTACCTGAGTGTGTGGGAGAGCTAACCTTTGGAGAGATGGCAAAAGTGGTCATGGAAGGCCAGCCCCAAACACAGAAACATTTCTGGCAGCTCCCCTGAACCCATCAGTCACAGCCAGCTGCTCAGTGCCTCATGGTTCAGGCTGGGTACAATACTCTTTTTGGCCCATCAGCATGCAGCACCTGGGCCTTCACTTTGCCACAAGTAACAAGGCACCATGCTCAGCTGTAATGGTGGCACAGCACCGCTCTGAAGCCTCATCCACAATACTGCAGGACTCCTCTAATTATTGTAGGACCCCCACTTCATTAGGAAGCAGCCTCTGTGGGTTGTTGGCTCACCAAAGCTTTGGGAGCCTTTGGCTGTGCACGTGAGACTGGTGCTTGGTTCAGAGTGTGTAATTCTCTCCTCCCTCATTCAGATGTGGCTGTGTATGAGGGCTGGGCCTGTATGTACTCCAGAATGCAGCAGTCACCTCTGCACTCACCAGTTTCTTCTGGCATGTGTTTCTGTCTTTCTCCCCCCTTCTCCCAAACCCCTCCAGCTGAAGAAATGCCTCTGAGCCAAGGACATATTTCAGAGATCTCCACTCCTAAATTCTGCCATGGAGGACAAGTTGGCTTGCTGAGTCAATGGTTTCCATTGTCCTTCAACTCACAAAAAAGGGGTCAGGGAATGCCTCCCATCCTGATCTGGGCAGAAGAGACCCCACCACTTGCATTCCTCTCCCATGGTCAGATAGGGAAGAGACAAGGAAGAAGTGAAGTTCTCTCCACTTTCCCCTAACATTTTTAAAGGGACAAGCCAGCTATTTGTTATTGATATGTAGGTATATCCTAGGTAAGATATAGCTATGGATTAAGGCAGTAACGCAAAAGCCTACAGGCTTCAAGCCTGTAAGACAATAGCTTAGCCAAACTGATGCCTAAAACCCAAAGACTTGACATAAGCAACTAACTACTAAGTGACCCTATATCATAAGATGTCACAAGATAGAGTGCTGTAAAAACAAGTACAGCTAAACTGCTGGCAGGTGATCACAAAACACCAGTTTATGCTAATTTTGGATATTTTAAGATAGGAACATCAGCAGATGGTCAACTGCAAGAATGCTATGGTAACCAGGTAATGTATATGCTAATTTAGTTGAGGTAAAATAGTAGGTAATCTGTAAGAGGACACCCCAACATTGTTAGGATGAGGAAGTGTTGATAGTGATAGGGGGTTTAGCACCATTATGAATATGTATGGCGACCATGCGACTTGTAATAAAAGGGCCAACCTAGGCCTAAGCATTTGGGATCTTTCTGGGTATGCCGCAGTGACGATCACTTGCCGATCATCTATGTTACCTACTTCAGTTTCCCACAAAGGATAGTGTGAGCATGCAAATGATGAACTTTTTGTATTATCTCTGTCTGCTTTGCTATGTTGCAGGGTTTCTGATATTTCTGGTTGTACTAGTGAAAATATCAGATTCACAAGGTCTTCACTAAGTGTGAGTGTCTCTCGCATTTACACGGGGTCCTCATTCTAACAAGAATTCTTTGGCCAAACTGGAGGCAGCAGAACCCTGCCAAACCATGGCATATTAAAGTGGAAACACTAAAGGATCCCGAATTAACAATCAGGCAACACTTGCCTTCATCTTTATCTAGGAATGATGCACAGAAATTCCTTCAGCTCTAGAGCCAGAGAAACTCCTCTCAGTTTTATGACCTCAGCAGACAGTGGGTAATGTTTTGGGAACGGATCATATCTATGGGCTTCAGGAGCTTGTCTGGCCCAGGAAGCCACAAATATTTGCTGGTTTCAGCTCTTAGTAATCATTTTTTATTATAATCCAACTGTTTCCATTGGCATGAACATTCTCATAAAAAAAAGATACAGGCTGTTTCCACTAACCAGAACCGATTACAGTGCCTAGAATAATGGAGCTCCAGTCTTGACTGGAGCGTAAGCCCCACTGTATTTACACGTAATAAATAAAAATTATAAACAAAGCTTCTTAGGAAACCATGCAGAGAAAACGAGATTTTAAAATAGGCATATTTAAAAATAAGTTTATTATCACTAAATATAAAAATCTGACAGAGGTCTTCAAACATTTCTCAAAAACAAAAAACAACCAAACTAAATCTAAAGTATGGAATATAATTCTGTTGAGAGAATCAGCATAGATTAAAAGCAGGTTGATGCCAGACCTGCTTTCATTTGGTCTAGTATCAATGTGTTAACACCACAGAGGGATTTGTTCATCAGTCAAGACAAAGTAAAATTAAAATAAAAGGCCATGTACCTTCTCTCTTCTTAAATAGTACACATCTAAGCAATGCTCACTATAAGCCTAATTTAATGTTCATAAAATTGATGTCCAACATGTCCCTGGAAAAATTAAGGAGCTGGGAAAGGAAAATGCACAACCAAAACACTTCACTTTTCAGTTTTGTTATTTTATTCTGGAGTGTGATTTCCTTGCTTTAATTGAGTATAACTACATGGAGACATGATAAAACACAACAATACACAGGAACCTCAAATTGTTGAGATTTTTGTTTAAAGGGGTCAAAGAGCAAATATGGGCCCCTGAATGTTAAGACATAAATTAGGATAAAACAAGCTTAGTGCTAAAACCTAGTCAGGATATTGAAACAGGGAAAATTAATATATGAAATAAGCCTTTGGCACTCCTGGGGTGTCTCTCTTGTTATAGAATAAGATAAGTATATTTAAAAAAGCTAACATCCACATCTTGAGCAAGTATGCAGTCTAATGCAATGGGGATTTGTGTGCTTAAATCAGGCATCTGCACAAGTGTGCACACATATACATACACACACACACACACATCGGTTTTAGACCCTAATTCAGGAAAACTCTTAAGCATCTGCTTTAGTCCATCCATGTTCAGGACAGTCCTTAGATGTGTGCTTAAAGTTAAACACATGCTTAAGTGCAGTCCTGAACAGGAAGACCTTCCTAAATCAGGGGCAAAATTAAACTCTAGACCAATGGGCCTCAAACTTTCTACCTCGTGACCTCCCCCTCTAACGGTGCCCCCCACCTCCCCTAGACAAGGTTGGGAGCCAGGAGCGGAGCGTGGCCACGGTTGGGGCTGAGGCCAGAGCCATGGCAGGGCTGGGAACCAGGGGCTGGAGCCACAGCCGGGAGCAGAGTCACGAACAGAGCCATGGCTGGGGCCAGGAGCTGCAGCTGGGGCTGGGAGCCACGGCAGGGAGCCGAGCAGTGCTGGGTGGTGCTCCCATCCCACCCCCAGTGGGGGCTGGCCTGGGCCCCGCTGCATCCCCTCCAAATGTTCCTCCACGCCCACCTAGGGCGGTGCACCCCACAGTTTGGGGACCACTGCTCTAGATCATGAGGTCCAAGTTTTCAAGTTCATTAGTTTGGCCATTTTGATTTCAGAGCACTGTTTAAACCCCCACATGAACCATGGGTACTTCCAGACTTATCATGGGATAGTCTCACTTGTGTGCTAGGAATCCGTCCCCTCCCACAATGCTACCCTGCTACACAAATGATTTTTATACACTTGGAGACCACGTGGAAGCCTAAAGCCTTTAGTTTTTTCAGGGTAGTGGGGCCCTGGATTCAGCTGTCCCTTCTCTCTCACCTTGCCTTCTTATCAGCACTTTGCAGGCAAGCAGAGAGAAATGAGTCCATCTTTGAAACTGTGCTTTCACCAATAAGAGCTAGAAACTGTCACTACTAAAGTGTCTTGATTTAGATTTCAAAGGTCAAATTAAAACTTCCCAGAGTTTTAATGTGATTAGCAAAGCACTGCAGTACCAGGGAGAGACACTTCAAAGAAGGGCAGCACATTCTTCACGAGCCCCCTTTCGCTTGGCTGTTCAGCTCTGAGCTTGGGCCCGTCTTCAAAGTCTCTGTTTTTAATCACTTTAATACACTGGCACTGTGGCTGTTTCAAACTCCCCATTTTAGCTTTGCACAGGAGACACTGTAGCCTGAAAGCAGCATAGCTGGCTGCAAAGCAGGCATGACATGGAGAGGTCGGGTGAATGGCAGTTTTTAGCCCTGCAAGGGCTTGGCTATTGCTCATAACAGTGCCTCAAGGGAACCCAGGGTTCTTTTAACCACCTGTTGCAAAAACCAAACAGAAGTTCGGAGCACAAGTGAGGAGAGGAAGTCCACTGAATGAGCGGAACACTTATTTAAAAAAAAAGTATTCTATAATGGCCACACACCCGGGAAGTGCAGTATCGACGTAGGCATAAGCTACAGCGTTAGACCCGTTCTGGAGAATACCGCAGCATATTTAAATACATAAAATCTCGCAACTACAAAAAAAAGTTTGACAATTCTTAAACCATGAAATATGTGCAATGTAATGTAAACAGTGACTGTACTTTAGCCCAAACTATTGATTTACTATAAATTACTTTTACTAAGAGTGAAAGCATATGGCCCTTAAAATACCAAACACTTGTTTAAAATTAACTTCAAATTTAAAATTTTGCTTTTAAAAGTTAAGGGCCATACTATAACATCAAGATGAGATGCCTGGGTATGTTTCAGTGATCCATTAATCTATATCTCTAAACACTTGAGTATTAATAGTTCACCAGAAAATACCCCTGGTGCCTTGATGCTAGGGTGCAGGCACGGGCAACTGTTGATTATGGTGTGTTAAAGTATTGAAAAGGATGCTAGAGTACGTTTGTTTTAAAAATAGCAAAATCAAATCAAATAAAAGCTCATCCACTTCTAAGCAGAACTCTCTATTTGAATTATTGGGGAGCTCTGCTCTAATGTCAGTGACACAGTATTACAAAGAGATATGACCTTTATTAAAATATGCTGACAGCTATTGTTCTCTATAGTATTAGTATCAGATTGCTTTGGGATGTATCACGTTTTAGCAAACATGTGCATTGGATAGTCTGTGCTAGTGTCATACTTTTTGCTGGAGTTCTGAACTGAACTATATCAACTTCACACAAAAAGCAGCCTTGTATGGTAAGCCTACTATATTTTTGCCATGGCTATGTAGAATCCCTGAGAGTATGCAACTGTCAAACAAAGGAAATAGCTGAAAGCATTTCTAAAGGAAACAGATGTAAAACTTCATACTGATAAAGGTTAACAAATCAATGCCGTTCATGTAAGGTATGCAAAACAGGGCTATAACAGTATCAGCATGTGGGAGTAAAACCACATTTTAATCTTGTAGCTGTCAGATCAGTTCCAAGATGCATGCTTGTTGCTTAGCTGTGAGGCAAACACAAATTCTTTTAAAACTAAAAAGTGTCAACCCACTCTGGGAAAAACAACAACAACATGTTTTTGTCTTTGAACTTTAAAATTATCAGTGGTGTTAGTCAGAAAAATAGAGAATAAGATTCCTTTGATTTAGTAATTATAAAGAATAAGTGACTACATATTGGGCCACGGCTGGCAATCTGGTACATTGAATAGTTTTTCAGTTTTGTCACTGTTTCCTTGGAAAGCCCCTGACCAGCCAATTGCAAGTAAAAGCGCCAGTTCTGCAAGGAACAATGGAGACGAGGAAACTCGTCTGAAGAGGAGTGTGCCCCACCTATGCAAAGCCAGTAATTGGTTTATCAGAAGCAGTAAGATTGGTGGAAAATGCCAGTTCTGAAGTTAAAAAATTCAAATGAGGTCGCTAACGGTGTTCTACTTTAGAAATTAAGATCTTCCCCTCTTTGCACCAGTGAGTTTGGATTTTCTCACTGGTAAAAATGTGAATGCTGGGAACTGTCTCCCACTGTGAGAGAAGCTTGGAGCAAAAGAAAATTCCACTTTTTATTCATTCTAACTTCACAATGTTTCTTTTAAAATTTACTTTATAAGAGGATCTCTCAGTCCTTTCCTCCACGGTGTGTGTGAAAATGTAGTCGCTACTTGTGCAATCACTATCTTCCCAGAGCATCCTGAGGAGAGCTATCAAGCCAACTTCCCCACATCACCTCAGAGAAGAACCTTAGCTGTAACCCTGAAGAAACCACTCACTGGGGGGACAGGATCTGGAGTTGTTCTACTGACATTTGTGTGGATTACTCAGCATTATGCTAAAGAGAATTACATGTGTAAATTCCAAGGGTACCTGGCTTCATTCTTAGTACTGCAGGTAGTGGAATAACTGAAGCAAACTCTGGCCAAAAAATATTCAATTCTATATGTAAGCATGAATAGAAAATGCCTCAATTTTCAAAAGGGCTCAGCACCCACAGCTCTGAAAAAAAAAACATCAAGCCAATTACTATTTATCTATTGCTTTTGGTGTCTCCCTCAGGCACCAAATTTAAAGTTTTTGGTCTTTTCCTATAGCTGTTTTGTGCTTTCTTCAAAATTTTTAGTGTCCTCTGGATAGAGCGGTTTGAGTGCTAAGAATATAGCTGTGCTTCAACCATGGAATTATGCTTAAACAACCTGTTCTATAGGCATCCAGGCACAGGGTGCATTGCACATCACTAGAATCCTCTTGGTATCCTTGATTTGCTGGATCTAAGCAAAAGCATTTCTCCTGCGAGATGGCAACAAAAATTTCAAAATGTCTCTGAAGAGTTGTTTTCTCCTCTATTTATAATGGCTCACCACTTTCCCAAGGCCTTCATTCTGAAGTGTTCCTCCCTTCTCTCCAATGTACAATGTGAAATTCACCCCATGCAGAATACCAGCAAAAGTCCTATGCACTAAAGATCTACTTAAACCCTGAAGTGGGACTAAATAGTCCAAATACCTTGTGCTGGCCCTCTATACGAGGTCAAATTTCACTTTTTAATCATCTGACTAACTACAGGGAAAGCTATTCATTCTTGACTCCAACAGTACCAGTGGACTTTTACTCGTGTCAGTGGGAGGAAAGCATGGCAAAAATCCCCATTATCCTTAATTCGCTGTCAAACCTAGACACTTTTGGATTATATAAAGAACTGCACTAATGTGTGATGGTTTTATGAAGAACTATACTCCCCCCCTAGGACTGACTCATTTCAAACCCAGCCTTTTGTAACCCCCATTAGCAAAAAACAAAACCAACACCCACACCTCCTCCAAATGCTAATCTAGAAGCATTTTTATATAACTTGTTAGATTGCTGGTTGTGTTTAAACCACACAAATACCCAGCAGCAGTTATGGGATTTGATTTTGAATAGGCCCTTTAAAAAGAAGGCTATAGGCAAACTTTTCAAAAGCACCTATGTGACTTAGATACGAGTCTATGTCCCATTGACTTTCAGTGATACTTAGGTGCTTTTGAAAAGTTTATTCTGTCTATTACCAGGGTAAATACAACAGGACCGATCTTCAGCTACTGTAGATGGGCGCAGCTCCAGTGGAACCAATGGGGCTTTGCCAATTTACATCAGTTGAGGATCTGGCCCAATGGCTCCAGCACTTAGCACTAAAGCCTTGTTAACCACACAAGGGCAAAGGAAGCACTTAAGATACTAGTACCAAGATCAAGGTGATGCATCTTGACAACCTTCTCTCCCTCTGCCATGTAGAGGCCTCCCCCTGCTGGGACCTTAGCAACAAGGCTGGTGTCACAGTGAATTTAAGGATTATTTTTCTGTCTCTCTCTCTTGCACACAAACACACACACACTCCCTCACAGGATGAGGCAGGAGGAGCTTCTTGGTAGAACAGCTCCAGGAGCAGGTGCCTAGTAGCACTGGAAGAGACAATCCTGTTTTCATGGACCTGTGAGGAGGTGGGAGGACCTAGGAAAGCACAGGGAGAGCATGCCTAGTGTGACGGGCTGACTCTTAGGGGAGGCCCAGGGACCCTGGCCATCAAGGCAACACTTGCAGTAACAGCCTTTACATTTTTTTAAAACAGGGCTGCGAGTAAAATCAAGTCACCAGTATAAAACACAAGGATGCAACCCAAATTTACCTCAAGATGGGACCAGACTAACCACTCAGTTAATAAGGTAGAGAGTTCTACTGCCCCCTCTTCTGCTATCAGTGCAGCACAGCTCTCACTAGCAGAGGGGCTGGGCTAGAGCTGCCCAGATGGAGAGAAGACCAATGAAATGGAGACTAGCATCACAACTTGGACAGGCACAGAACAGGGTGAGGGCAAAATGACGACATCAGCACAGCATCTGTGCTCCCATCAAAGCTGCCCCTCCACACGTGTGGTGCCAGTAGTATGCACTGGAGCAAGGCCTAATTCTGCTCTGTTATATTCATGTAAAAAAAAGAATTATTTAGCCCAAAGGTATTCACCATGCAGACAGTTGCGGCCTTCAAAGAAACAGCACCTCTTCATTTAAACATAAACAAGGATTAAAAATACACAAGCACACCGATTCCTCCACCTTCCATGCTAAGAAAAGATACAACGAAGAGAAACGGCATTCAGAAAAGCTCGTTAACAAATGCAGTGCCTGAAGTTTTGAGGTACTGTGTCACTGTGATTATACCACCTCATCCGACTCCAAACCATGTACTTCATAGAGAATGTCCAAGATATTCAGCTGGTTTTCCATGGCTGGCAAGTAAATGTTGAGGTCTCTCTGCATTGCATTATAAAAAGCTTCTTCCTGATCATCACACTTCTTCACAGACAGTGCTGCCACAAAGTCTTCATATGTTGGTGCTGCCCTTAAAGCTAACTGGGAGAGGAATAGAAGTTTAAAATCTCAAACTTGGAAAGTGACTTTTGATGCTTCAACTTTTGCAGCCCCATTATGAGACACTTTACAGAGGCCTGATTTTTAGAAAGTGCCTATACAGCATATTTTCTGACTACAAGTGGTGATTTTTTATTATTATTTTTATTTAGACTTTAAAAACATTAAAATAACCAACACGGGAACATTTTCAAAAGGAGCCTATGTCTAATTTTCAAGAACTCAGAAACTTGGAAGTCTAAGTCCCATACTTTTTTTTAAAAATAATTTTACCCCAAATCTTGCTGCTTCTCCTTCAATCATGAAAAGCATTGTATTTACACCTGGGTGGGACTTTACATAGTCTCGCCAATACAATTTATAACAACACACACCAGGGGGCGCTGCTAGCTTGGCGGTAGGACACCCTGTTTCTTTGGTTACTCTATTTGAGTAAAGTGGC